GTCGTGAAATATCTCAGATTGATTAAACATAGACATTAAAACCATTAAATGTCGGTTCAGTGGTCTAGAGTTTCAGTGTTCATGCTCGAGATTGAAGGTTCCAAGTTTGATTCCCGTTTGTGGGGTCATGGATACCCACTGCTGGAAGGCCCATACTAAGACAATACGTCTGTAAGTGGTACACAGATGAATTAAAGCATGACTGCAGTAGCTGAACGCTGATCGACCAGTTCCTATCCAATCAACACTAGTGATAGTTGCTTTACATTCCAGAAGCTTCACGTGTACAAACTATAAAGATAGTAACGTTGTTCCTATTTTGCCTTCACTTCGGTTTCTTACTTCCATTTAACCTTGCTATTTGCAATATGATCTTTGTCCTATCCCACCGTGTTCTTATTTGAGGAGTTGTTTAGTATGTTGTTGTCAAAGAATACTAAGCAATAGGAATAGCTAGGTTTACTAAGGAAGATTTATAACAACACTAGTGAGAAGACTGAGGCAGGCGCTGAAGATTGTATTATGCAAATTTACACTCTCAGTCAATTAAAAATGACAACATTACATTGAATACACTCTATTTGCACATCATCTTTGAGTCGTGACTTCCAACGCTCCATCCTTCTTCCATCCCTGCTGTTGCTTCCTTTACTTCCTGTCGGGATACTCCATTTACTTCTTGCTTTTTCTCCATTTGCTTTCTGTTTTCCTCTTCTGACCGTGAGAGTTCTTCTTTCACGTCCATTTTTATACTACTTATATCGTTCGTATAAGTAGCACACATCACAGTAGGTCCCACATTAGGACAATACGACCGCCTAGTTCTTGTAGCTTTCTAATCGCAGTCTAACATTGATTATCTAAAATAGATGTCGTTCTATCACAGTTTTAATAGATTCTACTTTACTATATTTTATTATTTAGAAAAGCACAACCAAATTTCCCTTTTCTAGTAGTACTACCTACCATGACATACAATAGTACAAAAGAGTAATTACTGTAAATCATTGTAATGATTCTGAAATAATCACACACTATAGTAAATTAAAAAATAATTTTCTATTCTATATCTCTATCTCTATCTATACGTATGTTTTTTTTTATTAGATTTGTTTCAATAAAGCATTACAATACATAGATGATGAATTTACTACATTAATTCATTTCTATGCCGAAACATGGTATCCAGCTCGTCAAATTGTATTGAATGCTGTACAAAATCGTTATTCCATTGATTCATCTGGTGCAATAATTTATATTGAAGGTAGTGGTTGTCCATGGAGTGCACATTTTTTTGAAATTGAAAAATCTCTCGCATTAAATAATAATAATAATAAAAATATCAATAATGATGATATGGAAAAGAGCAAAGATCTTATTCTATTTGTTATATTTCAACGTAAAGATAATACATGGACAATACAAGCGATACCATTAAATGAACATAATAATTTTTCACAAAGGTAATCATTCCGTTTTGTTTATTGGTGTGATTGTATTGTATAAAAGTTCTACGTTGTTATTGACTGACTGACTGACTGACTGACTGTATAAAATGAATGAATTAGTTACTAGTATTTCTCTATCATAGGATTTGGTTGATAGAAGAAAGAAATGTTCTTTTATTTGATTGGCAAACATTTTTCGTAACTGTCCATCTGTATATTGAAGTAGTTGGTATTTTTGTTTTATGATGAGTTGACGGTTTTTTGTTGTTTCAGTCAGTTAGTCAGTCAGTCTGTCAGCAGTAATGTAGAACTTTGTAGGTACCGTACATCAGTTCAAAGTTACCATAAGCACATTAGCACACAGAAATACAATTGACAATTCAAATACCAAATTAGTAAAGGTAGTATAAGTATAAACAGTAAGCGGAGAGATTAAGGTTCAAAGATATTGTTCAAGTGTGGTGCGAGCTACTTATAAGTAGTATATGACGTGAGTGTCAGTCAACGTAATGTCTGGCAGCAGAAGATGGCGGAAGATCAAGAAAGGAAGAAGAGTGGGAACACAATGGAATTTGTATGAAACGCATGAATAGTGGTGACAATGGATTGATGTTGTTTGCAACAGGAACAGACAGTCCAGTTCGATATGAGATGGACGGATATTTTGCAAAATAACGATTTACGACATGGTTTTCCAATTTTACTGAGTAACTCTGTAATTTCGTTAAATACAATTCGGTTGCCCCACCTGTGTTCTCGTTCACTACACAAGGAGTATAATCTGAAGAAATAAATTTTAGAAGAGGAAGATGTAGGTCATGAGGAATCCAGATTCGAATTACAGAAAACACAAACCGTGAATGCACTTGCACCATTGCAAACGATTTTGAACCATGTCGTTCAAGGTCTCTAACCATCGATTACTATCACCTAGCGGGCTCTAACCCGGTCGTTTACACCTATTAACAGGGCTCAGTCCAGTAGTCAGTAACTTCATGGATTTGTGACATGTTTTGGTTGGGCCGCCCTTAGCTTTCTTCCAACCTACTCCTACATCAGACTTCATGGCTCCGTCGGGCATACGAAACACATATCCCAACCATATCAATCGATCAACGTTCAATAATTCACTTTTTGTTGTTTAGCTTATGTAAGATTTTTTTTAATTCTTAACTAATTACTACTTATTAGTATTTGAGCTTTGTGAAGATTATTGAATGTTATATAATCACTAGCAAACCAATGGAACAGTAGAAAACCTAGTCTTTATAGTTTGGGACTCCTCAGCTGTGCACAACTATAACTTTACTGAAAGTCAAACCCAGGATCTCCATTTTCGCTCGTGAACGCCAGCCTTATTCATCATTGAATTCCAGCTCAATGGTCTCTACAGGTGTTTACGTGCAAGACTTGTCTTGTCTTCAATACTAGTAAGGTTACGGATACACAGTGTTGAGGAATCCACGACTAGGATGACTCAGTTGTCCATTAGTTTTCAGTGGATGTTTAACTTGGGTTGGTTTGTGACATCAATAGCTCATTAATAGTTATTGAAGAGTTAGTCTTTTGATTTTAAACGATCTCATATGCATGATGCTGGTTAATCTGACATCATTTGTTATTAGTTTTTTCCAATGTTTTGCATTATTTTAGACTTCCTTTACCTGAAAGTTGGCGAGGTTTACGTGATGAACAATTGAGTAGTATTGTTGGTCTACCTGATTGTGTATTTGTACATTCTACTGGATTTTTAGGTGTACATAAAACTCGTGAAGGTGTCTTACAAATGGCAAGATTAACTATGAAAATGAAAGAAAATCAATAATTTCTGTTTTTTATTATTGAATTTTATCTTGGTTTTTGCAAAAATGAAAAATGTATGTATACACTTTCTGAAAGCTATTTTGTTTTACATTTTTTCTAAAGTATGACGGATAGAAAGGTTAGGATTGACTTAAAAAATTTCATTGAAACAGTCGCTTATATAGGTCGAGCAGTTTACCAGATGCTCATTTGTATATTTAGCTTTAAGTTAAGACCGTAATACGTGAGCTAGTGTTATTCATCTGTTATTTAGAACTGAATTAGTCGGAACATGGTTTCAACCTTGAAAGTCAGCTGTCCTTACCGCTGAGATTCCAACTACAAGGGTAAACTATATGTACTCGTACTTTGTTAATTAGCTAGCTACTCTAATCCGAGTGTCCTAACCCCCATTGAATAAAAGAAGGCTTGATATGAAGTAGAACGTGTACTCTACAAACATCCAGAAAGTACGAGGTCCGATTTCAGCAGAAGATAAAGATCCGGGACTGGGTCCTGCTAATAGAACGTTACAGATAATGCATATTTATACATTTCGGTCGAATAGGAAACGACGTTGAAGTCTGTGACATTGATAGTCAGGGCGACCATAATATTGACCAATAGAATTAGACTTCCAAAAAAATAGTTCTCTTAGGATATTTGATGAATATCCTAAACAGCTTGTACGACATGTGAGATGTATTCTAAACAAAGGACTATTACTTTTCCCGTTTCATGTCATAATTTGTAGAACAGAAAATCATTGTTAGTAGTAGTTGAAATATTACTACTACTCAAACCAATTACAAATGTAAATTCAATTATAATTTCCCAGTTCAGTTCAATTATTTTACTAGATTAAAGTCATAAATAAAATAACAAATCAGTGCAATGCAGAAGCATACAGGTGATAAGTTACATTGATAAATCGTAACATTATTTTATTAGCCATATTACTGTAAAAACTTGAAGCTAAATAATTATGATTTTTGAATGCATTAAACAATACTAAACGATGAAAGTGATTTTGTAGTGAGTTCTTAGTAATATTGATATTGATGTAACTTAAACAATAGGCATACTGTCCTACCGTGTATGAGATAAGACTTAAAAATGACAGTCATCTCGAAATGATGAATCACATAATTACCGGAAGTTGTTTGTTTATTACTAAGGCGCACTAGTTTAGTTGACCGAGTTTATGCTACTGTAGTGAACGAGAACACAGGTGGGGCAACTGAATTGTATTTAACGAAAATTACAGAGTTACTCAGTAAAATCGGAAAACTATATCGTTAATTTGCTAAATATCAGTCCATCATATCGGACCGGACTGTTGCTGTTGCAAAACATCGATCCATTATCACTATTCATGCGTTTCATACAAATTCCATTGTGTTCCCACTCTTCTTCCTTTCTTGATCTTCCACCCATCTTCTGCTGCCAGACATTACGTTGACACTCACATCATATACTACTTATAAGTAGCTCGCACCACACTACCACTGGATTGGATACGCGAATTGGACATTATAGTGTAGTGTGTATACAAATATGTCGAGCCTACATGGCTTGTTCCTAGCTTTTGGACTAATGAATTAATCCATTCTCCTCGAGTGATGCACATATTTCGACCTTGTCAATTATTCGTTGATAACTTTGGTTGTTATTGACTTCAGTATGCGCGTACATTGAATGCTGCTGCACTTATTACATGGCTAGCTTATTTTTATTTGATCATATACTCAGTTGTGAATTGTCACATTAGGTTGGCTCACTCGCCCTCTGCATTTCGTTTCGCTTCCTCACTTTTTATCTTGATGTATGTCTGTATGAATGATTGTTGGGAATAAACTCATCTAATCAAATCTGTATTTGACTTCAGTGTATATTCATCATGCAATGCAGAGTAAAACTGAAAAACGAAAATGCTTTGACCTCAATCACTCTAACATACTTCAAATATCAGGAATAGAGTACAAAAGACAAGCTTAAAACGACCACAATAAACCTCAAGGCAGTTCGTAGCAGATTAGAGAAAACAGGTTTTTTAAATAATAATATCACATAGTATGAAACCAGATTCTACATACTTAACAATCAAGTCTTTTACAGGTTACTTCACTCATAAATTGGAAGAACTGTAACACTTCAACCTGTACTAATGGATACAGAATATCTCTTCTTCTGGAGTCCTTTTTTAACAACCTAAATAGATTTCTAGAATTCCGCATCTTGCTCTTGGTTGAAAATCTGATCAGCTTACTGGTGTGAAAATGCTCTGTTATCATATGAATTTTTGCACTACCTAAATAATTTGTCGATAAGATATAGTGCGGTTTGTTTCAGTGTTTACAGACAGTATAAAAAAAAACCTGCAAAAGTGAGAATCGACCATTTAATACGTTTAACATTACCAATTTCAGCCCACGGTGAAAAAAGCAATTTGTCACCAATATTTCAAATGTTTTAAGCATTAAACAAAGGCGTTTCGACCACCCGTTATACGCGACATCTGAATCCTGCACAACAGTTCAAAATTCACATTCTCAATTCTGGTTGGTTACACCTGCACGCAAACACGTCAACTTGATATACTTGAACTATTACGAGTTTACCTAGTCGGGAAACGAGAACGAGGATCCGGCGACACGAGATGCTACTCAAATCCGATTATTCCGACCCCCAGTTAAAATAAAAAGACTTGATATGAAGTAGAACATGTATTCTACAAGCATCCAGAAAGTACGGGATCCGAGCGCAGAAGAGAATCAGGATCCTGGACTAGGGATCCGGGTTATAAAACGTTACAGATAATGCGTATTTATAAAGTTGGGTCGAGTAGGTAACAACATTCAAGTCTGTGACCTTGAAAGTTAGGATGACCAATAGGAAACAACATTTGAAGTGACATTGATAGTCAGGACGGCCAATACGAAACAACATTTAAAGTATGTGACATTGATATCTATGACAACCATAAAATTGACCAATAGGAATTAACTAATCGGAATTGACCAATAATTCTCTCAGGATATTCGATGAATATCCTAACACCTATACCATACTTTTGATTTTCAAATTAGATATTCGAATAGCCTAACATATTCTTTGCAAAAATATCCTATTTTGAAAAATTAGTGAATAATAAACATTAAGTAGTTGAATTTTAATTTAAAAAAATAATTTAGGCTGAAAGCAGTGAAAATCTTTGTTTATTTATTGATTTTATTGCAAAAATTAAACAATAAACACTTGATTATTAATAATGATAATAATCATGATTACAGTACAAACAATAAAAATAAATCCTCATTTCTTAAAAAATTTTTTAAATAACCATATTTAAAAAAAAAGTATGATGATAATAATAGTATTGTAGTAATAATCATAAATAAATGCAAACAACAAAGATATATAATAAATTGAATCTTGAATCTTATAAAAAAACATTGATAATTGAATCTCTCTTTTTCTTTTCTTTTTTTTTTAGGTTTTTTTTACATCATATTTAAATAAACATAAAGTTAATTAGTTATAATAAACTTAAATAAATATACAAAACAGATTGCTGAGAGAGATAGAGAGAAAGAGGGCATGATTGATTATCTGTTGAAAAAAAACAGCACAACTTTATTTACATTGTTTAACTTTACGTTGTATTTTCATATACCATGGTGTATTTGTATGTTTACGTCGTTTTTTAACATTCTGATGCAATCGACGTGATTGTTGTTGTTGTTGTACTAGTTGTTGTTGTTGTTGTTGTTCTGTACATTGACTAGATGATAAATTTAATTGTCGTTGTATTTGTTGTTGATGATATATGGAACTTTTAAATGGTGGAAATTTGATTTTGACACCTGTAAAAATGTTAGTTTAGATATTTTAAAATAAAAAATAAAGGTTTTTGAGGAGAAACAAACGAATAATTCATAAATCACATCTATAAGACTTATCAGTATGAGTTTATACCCGGTTTGTTTTCGTGTCTTTTCATCTCCTTTGTTATTTTTTGTTGTTTTTTTGTATCCCAAAAGCCACGGACTAAATCTATAATAGAGAGTAAACGAAATAACACAAAAAAAGAATTACGTAAAAGCAGCTTCGGCTCCTTGGATAATTTCTTTGTGTGACTCGACTAATGCCTAACCAATTTGACTTACAGGCGATCTTAGATCTGCGAGTGATAGAAAGGTAGTGTACCATAATGTATCTAGTCTCGGCCGATGACGTGACATGAAAGGACCAAAAAATTGTACGATACATTCTTTTTTTTTATATAAATACAAACATAAAAAAAAAGGAGAACATCATAATAAAACACAGTGTGTGGCTTTCACCATGTTTCTTCGTTGGAATCCTTTCTGCCCCTTGCCCCTTTTGAGGGCCCACCCCCACATCATGTTTCAACAAATAAATGCAAGAGAAGACGATCAGTGTAGCAGCGGCCTCAGATCTCAACATACACAAGTAAAAAAGCGAGATTGACCGATACAACACAACATGCACAAACTAAAACACACGTGACCGAGATACCTTGAAGGAAGTAAAAACAACAACAAAACAAACAAGAAGCACAATCATCGACAAGCAAAGTGGATCTGATGCAGAAGAGAAGGCGCAGATCGACAAGCAAGGGTTGCATTTCTAAAAGTGGACAACATCTGGAACTCATAACAACTATCAACCAACAATAAAGTCGAAATTTACAATTAAAACGTCAAGACAATTCTACGGTATGGAATGAAAACTTGAAGAAATACGGAAGCCATCATCCAGAAGATTCAAGTATTTATTAACAGTTGACTACACAGAATACTTCAGATCCGTTGGCCAGACACCACCACAACAACAACCTATATGTGTGAGAGAACAAACATGATTGCAGAGGAGAAAGAAACCAGGAAGCTGTGGAAGTGGATAGGATACACACTGTGGAAACTTCAAGGTCAAAGGAAAAGAGGAAAGCCAAGGAACACATTACGCCAGAAAATGCAGACAGACATGGGAAGAATGCATAAAAATTGGACAGAACTGTGAAGGATGCTCAGGACGGAGTAGATTGGAGAATACTGGCCGGCGGCCTATGATTCATTAGGGATAAATGCGTGTGTAAGTAAGTACGCGAGAAGTTAGTAAGAAAACTGGTGCATCACACATCATCAAACCTCTAAATACTATTAGTCCATGGAAATCATGAAACTATTAGAATTATAGCGTAGTGAACATTGTTCGTTAGGAAGTTTTCGGCAGTATTAGTGACTGCTTTAGGACATGTAAAGAAATACGAATTTTCTTCCACAATGCGGTTTCAGTGGTCACTAGTGACTTTCTTTAAATTGGCGGTAAGTCAGCCTAACAGCTTGTAGCATAATGAAACAAACAAAAACCATTGTTGTGATAAATTACATACGTCATTTATTCAATGAATAGTATACATAGAAATAATGCAAAACAAATACACTCCCGACGTTTGCATAATCGTATCACAATATTCAATGACTCAAGGTTTCCAAAGCTTCACCAAACCATCTTCTGAATAAGTAGCAATGAGATTTTGATGAGGGTGATGCGCGCAACCTATCACTTCCTTTTCATGAATCTATAAATTGGAGAACACAACATATTTATTCAAACTAATAATCAATAAAAACTACGGCTCAAAGATACTCTTTATCAGTTTTTTCATATAGACAACCAAGCGTTGATGAGTATGCTGCGATGAGCTAGAGAGATGACCGTGGTAATACTACACCTCAACCCAAAGATTTCCTTTGCCGGTGTTAGGCCTGAGGCGTATAGGCTTATCAAATTTAAGATTTGCTGGGAAAATCGTGTGTACGGATGACAATTTTTAATTGTAATAAGGGTTTTGTTTTTACTCTACGGGTCACTACAAACATTTCAGATACAGTTTCGTTTTAAAGTCCTTCAGGGATGGTCTGTCAGGGTGTGGACGACTGGGAAGCGACAACTACCTTTACTTCGTGTACAATGATATCAATCTTCGTTATCAAATATTTCTCTCTTCCCAACTAATGATCGCCATTTATCTTTGAATCATCTAGCAAGTGACACCACCAATGCTAACAATAAGAATTCATGAAATGCTAACTCAGGTCTCGAGAGACTGAATGCCAGATTACATGTTGAAACTTTCAATGTACAAACACACTGACAAATCAGATGATAAGCAATACGAGACCCTAGAATCTTATGGTATTGATGTGTGACAAACAAATAAGAAAATTAGCCATCAGCCGTCGTTGGAATGGCTTGATACAACATTGCAACTACCACTTCAGTACAACCTAGACTCCGATTATATCGAATTCCAGTGAAAACACGGACATCAGTATGTTTAAAAACATAGGAACATCAGCCAGATATCGATTTGAAGATAAAGAAGTCAAGGATACAACCAGGAACAAATTAGTGAACCAGTTAGTCAATCGTAGAGAAACACCTAAGATAGGAGAAGCTCTGGATGACATCCAAACATCTGAAAATTATATCAACTGTCCGGAAAGATAGAAGGATTTCAGTGGCATCTTCTTAGTTGATAGGTGATTAGAAACTCTGTGTAAGTCTCGGAGGACGATGAAGATCGATAAATAAAACATAAACTAACAAAATATTTGTGTGGTTATTTTAAGCAATGAGTGAGTAACGAAAGCCTATCTAAAGTGAAGAAGACAAACACAGAGATCTGTAGGGGTAGCAGTTTAGTTTTACGTTAGAAAAAAGGTTAGTTCAGAACCTAAAGAACGAAATTCCCTTATAATATCCAAAGATAAATTCGTTTAACCGATTGAATATCTAAAATATTGGCCACCAAAATTATCTAACTGTTAAATTAGGCTTGTAGAGAACAAACCTGGGAAAACCAGGATGGTTTCAGACTTGAGTGGGGATGCATTAACCAAATATTCACTCTTTGTTGGAGTTTACAATCTAGAAATACTTATCAATCCTTGATTATAGTGATATTTCTCCACCTCAAAAATGCATTCAACTCTTAATTGGATGACTTTATGGTAATATTTGTTAGTCACAAATATATCAAGGAAGTACATTCACACTATTGTTCGATTCAGAGCTTATGACAATATGTCAACAATTATTGCTTTTTCTTAAAATCAACTTTTAGATTAATATGCTAATAGAAATGACTGATAAGAGGTCAATATACTATACGCCAGCTTGCTTTCGCAGATATAGTCCTGTTTGATGAAGACCATGACAAAATATAGTCTTTGAATAAGTTAAAACAGTAATTTTAGCATGTTCCAAGTATAACCACATTTAAAGCACATCTACAACTCAACCTACTAAGTTTTCAGCAACCAAATAACAGCACCACACACTCATTCAGCAGAGTTAGTTGTGGAGATTAGAGAGATAATAGGGGGTGTAGGAAGGATTTGATTTCGACCAATTTGGTCTCTCCTGCTGTTACGGGTATGAGGGCGGTTGTCACTTCCCGGCTGCCCACACCGTGGAAGGTCGTTTCTAGAGGAACCTGAAGAGGAAGGTAGATTAGTGTTGGTCTTGGAGACCTGGGAGAGTGACCGCAGAGCCCAAGGGACAACTGCTTGAGGCCGGTCACGCACGACATTTTTATGAAAGGTGTTTTGAGTATTAGTTCCGCTCTTATAGGCCCTTAGTAGCCACCCTTACCACCGGAGACGGAAATCCGTGAGTAGGGTGAGATGTGACATTTTCAGGGTCGACCTTTTCTAACCCTTCCTTTCTTGCGGGAAGGCAGCATCGCTGCAGATGTTGCTTGTTGTCCGAGGGAAACACCTTACTACTGTCACAGCCCTCTGCAGTCAGCAGTACGACTTCGCCCTCAGACCTTGAGTAGCTGCTTTTAGTCTCATCGTTCTGCAATCGACCTGCCTGGCATGGTAGAACCTTCAGGAACATATGTTCCAGCCAATATAGCTCGGTTGCGTCATCACAATAGGCAAGCCCGACCACCACGGCAAGGTAGCAGCTACGGTCGGGACTCTCTCATTCATTACAATATATAACACAACGCCAAACACAAACATGCACTTAACATGGTAATTACATTGAACTTTATATAAACTTACTCGCATTGTTCGTTCTAATTTACCACCGGCAGCAACATTGAAACAATATAATAAATGATCTTCAGCTACACAATAAATCCATTCACCTCTTCCACTAAGTGTACAATCCAGAAAATCTCCACCTTCTCGTTTACCACTAGAAAAACTTCGTACAATCTGTTGAAAGAAATTTAATTATTTTATGGAAAGAAGAGAAAGCGAGATTAAAGATTGTTTAAATATGCATGCAATTTGGTGAAATAATTTCTTATCTAAATTATTTTAACATAGTTGTGATACACAAAAATGATACTAATGTGACTATAATGGAATGATTGATATGGAGCATAGGTCACAGACCAGTGTTCTACAACCTACTCTGTCCTGGGTTTCCCTTTCCAGTTCTGTTAATTCTCCTCATATCTTTCTTTATTTCTCAGCGTAATATGTTCCTTGGCCTTCCTCTTTCCCTTTTGACCTTGAGGGTTTCAGAGTGTGTATCCTATCCACTTCCACAGCTTCCTGATTTCTTTCTCCGCTGCAATCAGGTTTGTTCTCTCATACATATAGGCTGTTGTTGTAGCGTCTGGCGAACGGACCTGAAGTATTCTGCATAGTCAAATGTTAATGAATACTTGTATCTTTTGGATGATGGCTTTTGTAGCTCTCCACGTTTCCGCTCCGTACGGCAGAAAAGTCTTGACATTTTTATTGAAAATTGTGACTTTATTGTTGGTTGTTAGTTGTTTTGAGTTCCAGATGTTGTCAAATTGTATAAATGCAGCCCTTGCTTTGCTGATCCACGCCCTCACCTTGCTCTTGAATGTAAAGATTTTTACTTCCTCCAGGTTATCTCCATCAAGAGCGATTTGGTTGGCGCACGTAGTGTTGGTTCGAAGAATTTTACTTTTCTCTTGTTTTCAAATAATATAATTGAGATACACGAATAAATCGTGATATTGCAATGAGTTGGTGGATTATTAGTTAGAGGATTTTTTGTCCAAAACAAACGATTGAAAACTTAAGTATTGTACAACTAACTATTCAGTGCAAATGTAAAACTGATTAACAGTGCCTATTCGTTTTCTATCTCATAAACTGGTCAAAAACCAGCCGAAAATGAGAAAGATACAACAGATACAACACAGAACTTCGTACGTAAGTACATCAGTTCAGGTTGCCATGCCCCATCAGCACAGAGACGCCACTGTCAGTTCAAATCGAACAGTGATAGCAATAATAGAAGTATTAGCAGTAATGCAGAAGATTAGGGAGCGAAGATATGATATAATTTGAGAAGTATAATTTAGTGAGATAAATTTAGAAGGAGAAAGATAGAGGTGATAAGGAATTCAAAAGGTTAGAATTAGAGAGAACACAAAGAGTGGATGCACTTGCGCCATTGCAAACGATTCTGAGCCCTGTCGTTCAAGGTTTCTAACCACCGGTGACTATCGTTTCGAAGGACCCGAGCCAGGTAGTCTACACGTATCAACATGTCCAAGTTCACTTGTCAGTGACTTCTTGGATTTGTGTCATGATTTGGTTTGGTTGTCTCTAGCTTTCTTCCAACCTACTCCTACACCACAAAACATAGCTCGTCGAGGTAGTCGGTGGTTAGGCATTCGTAACACATGTCCTAACCACCTCAACTGATGAAGTTTCACTACTTCATCTATTGATTTGTCATCCTTACCTAGAATTCGTTTTCTAAAGACAACACTACTTATACGGTTGTCCCATGATACACGAGCAATGCTTCGGAGACATCGATGATCGAATACTAGTAACCTACGAAAGTCCTCTACTCTTAACGGCCAAGTCTCGCATCCGTACAGTAGGACGGAGCGAACTACTACGCAGTACACTCGTCCTTTGGTTAGCAAACGGATATCTCACCTGCGCCATAAGTGACGCAGGTTGGCGAAAGCCAATCGAGCGTTTTCTATCCGTGCTGAGATTTCCTCACACACCAGGCCATAAGCACTGATTAGACTGCCCAGATAAGTGAAGTGATCAACAGCCGAAAATGAGAGGTAATATTGAACGATTATTATTATTATTACTAATTGTTTAGTCTTATGTGTAACGTGATTACAAAAATGCTAATTGTATCATTAAACTACAGATAAATAGGTAGAATTTTAATAAAAAGTTATAATATTTAAGATTGGTAACAACAATGACTAAGCCTATATGGTTAATGAATTAGTATTCACTGGTGGTGGGCACAGATTTTAGCACTCAAAAGCAACACTGTATGTGAAACGATCTGTAATACTGCTTGACTGCGTGAACCAGTCACAGGTAGTCAATCAAATTTATCTAACTTCGGAGAGCATCTTAACAATCTTCACATCAAAAGGAATGATTTATAGTCGAACAGATGCACACCGACACTGATTATATAGTTGATTTGAGTCTAACCCACATTATAGCGCCATATGGTTTAAAATTTGATTTTTTTCACTTACTACTCACAGATTAAAGCAGATTTACAACTTTGAACAGAGATTGACCAATTTAAAACAGTAGACAAGTAGTCTCTATTGTGTACACATACTATAAGTATCTTTGTTTTTCATACAGAGTTAAACAGTGGGCACAGTAAACTCGAAAACACTTATGTAATTTTTCTTACCTGTCCCTTGCATATTCATTATAGCAACTGTATTAGAACGGACTAGCCACAACAAATTGAGTCTGTATTTACGAGGCATTAACTGAACTGAATGAATTGATACTTTCATGACCGACTAGACCAGATATTGCCTATTCAAAATAAACAATAAACCAAACTGTTTTAACCTTCATTGGTTTGGGTTTTTACACAAGTTGAATGTTAACAAAGTGAGTGGGATGGAATATTAAGGTAACACTCTTACAATTGAACTTGTACGTCACCAGCTACAATCAAATAAACTACTTGGACTCCCTTAACTGGTCATATTGAATGAAATAAAATAAAAAGAATGTGTTCGCGGTCTATTACAACTGAAACGGTAATTATGAAAAATGTGATGTACGTGTTGGTGTGAGCCTACTTTATAAGTCAGGATATGGACTAGTCAGTCGTCAAAGCTTAAATGTCTCGCGCAGCAGCCAGATGGGGTGGTATCAGATCAAGAAAGGCAGAAGGTTTAGAACACAAGTGGAAGTTGTAATGAAACGCATGAGAATAGTGACAATGGATTGAATGGTTTTAGCAACGGTGAACAGTCCAGATCGATATCATCATGAACTACCTGATTACTTTTGCAAATTAACGATTTACGATATGGTTTTCCTATTTTACTGAGTAACTCTGTAATTTTCGTTAAATACAATCCGGTTGCCCCACCTGTGTCCTCGTTCAC